GAATTTAGAATCCCTATATAATTGGGTTATAAACATTATCATAGAAGCACTAATAAATAGCCACAAAATAGCATGTACATTGCTTTAACTGTCTGATACTGCTGCTCTTTATCATTTTTCATATTTAAAACTGAATATGTTTACTTGAGGTGTATAGAAGTTATTAAATTATAAACAAGTTTATTTACAATAACAGCTACATAAATCTTTAGTCATACAAGTTCTACACGTTTGTCACCATTGAAAGTTTCCCGTAAAGACTCTGAAGAAACAACAGCGTAACTGAAGGTAATCTTTCACACTTCTCTTCAAATTTGCTTTTTTGGAAAAATAGCTTTTTAAAGTATAATTTGTGTTGCTATTCTTTTTTCCTGCTCCTTAGCTCACCCTGCATTTAACATAGCATGTATAAATGTTTCCAAAATATGATTACTAATCTCATTTCAAAACAAATTGAATTATCCTGTTGTCACAATTTAGATAAAAAGATGTCCCCCAAAAGTGTTACCTTTCCAAGGTGGGACTTTTGAAATGTGGCCTGATCATGTAGATGCCATACTTGTCTGGATTCATCCACCGAGATGAGGTGCAGCCAGGTTGGAGGCAGCTGGTCACAGGGGATTGCCTTTGTGGGGGGCACTGCATTCTCTGTTCCTTTTCTTTCCAAGCTACACAGATGCAGCAGCCTTGCCCTGTCAAGTGCTTGTCCCATGCTACTCATGCCTTGGAGTCAGCTGCTCATGGAGTAAAATGTCTGAAACTGACCTCAAATCCATCCTTTTTTAAATTGTGGGTGTCAGTTATTTTTGTCTAACGATGGAAACTCTAAGTAATGAAGCTCATGAGAACACAAAGGTTTATGAAAAGGAAATAGACTACAGTTGTACCACAATACACAGTACAGAAAAGGAAGTTCATATGTTTATCAAGGATGTGGCACAGGTAAAAATAATGTAAATCCAATAGAAATTACTTTTTCTAAACTGGAACTCTGCTATCCAAATGTCAAGTAGTATTTACATATTCAGGACCATCACAATAGACAAATGTATATCTTTAACATAAAACTTATCAACACTCTACGACTCTGGTTGGAAAATGCACGTCTGATCTAGATAGGACCTGTGAAACATAGCCACGGATGCTTCATTTTGTTGCACTGACCACGCTATTGTATTTTTATCTCTAAAAATTCTACAAATATGGTAAGGATGACAGAAAGAATCTTGATTTCTCTAATATCAAAATCTTTTATTTTAGACAAGATGCTCTTATAAGTTGGATTCAAAAATCTACCCTACATTGTGTAGATAATTTTACCACTTTATAGTGTAGAAAGAGCATTGAAATTAAGTGGCTCATATACTGTCTAGCAGACTCCACTGGATGTAAATGTTCTCTGCAAATGCTTCACTGACGATATCCAAGGTTCATTGAAAACTAGGTTTAAAAAATTGAAATTTAAAATCCTGTCTCTTCAGGGCCACAATCAGATGTTAGTTTAGACTGAGAAAACTTTAAGGCCAAATTTTAATTTTGAGCAATACACTCCAAAGAAACCAGTTAGAAATAAAGCAAGCGAGGGGCTGGGGATTTAGCTCAGCGGCATAAGCACCTGCCTTGCAAGCAGGCGGTCGTGAGTTCGATCCCTGGTACCAATAAAAACTGAAAAAGACAAAAATAAAATAAAATAAAATAAAATAAAATAAAATAAAATAAAATAAAATAAAAAAGCAAGCGAGGAGAATCAATTCACAGACAAGATACAGAAATCTCTCATGAATTTGGACTTGAGAGAAAAATTTGCCTTTGTGAGCTGAGCAGACAACTAGTGTTAAGAGAGAAGATTTCAGAGCAGTGAAGGAAAGGGATAGATGTGCTTTATATGGCCACTAGTGGGCAGCTCCTGTGGTTAGAGGCGTGGTCAGAAGTCCACACAAACATCTTTATAAAGTGACTATGGTGAAGCTTTTCATTTAAACTTACCTTTACAACTGTCATTAGTTAAAACTCTTATTAATTTCAAAAATCTCAAACTGTTATCATGATATCATTATCATTCTATAATAAATACTTTGTTACCTGTTTTCAATTAGCTGTTATCACTGCCTTATTTCTCCAGTCATGGGCAGATTATTTTAAAAATAGTTGAAATCATAAAAAGAGCATTGAATGCTGAACAGCAATTTTTGTATATCAGAGGTATTGAGAAGTTAGAAGCACGTCAGGAGCTCAGGAGCCATTCAATTACTTAGGAGTGGCGCAATGGACAACCTGATTCTAATAAGGCTGAAGGGGAACCACAGCTGCTGCATACCAACAAGAAGCCAGAAAGAAACTGCTATGGCTAAGACCTCGCCCGGGTGATTTCCTTTCCTAGTGAGTGTCCTTTTTCCTTGTCTATCTGAGGAACAGTGTTTTGTCTTCACTAAACAGCTTCTTGTTCAGCACAGACTGAAATCCCTAAGCGATTTGGTGGAACTGCCCACTGGGCTGGCAGATGGAGCCTGAGCTTCTCTCAGATGGTTATGTAACACCTTTGATATTACCCAAGCCATTGCTGATAAGAGGTAGGTTTACAAAAAAGGCCCTGGCCTTGCAGAAGTACGACATCAACACTACATTATTAGACCCACTCCCCTTATTGGAGGCAACCATTCGCACTTCCCAGCACCCAAACACTCCCTTACTTGCAAAAAAAAAAAAAAAAAAACTTTTTCCACTAGTAATTTTGTTTCCTTTCTGTATCTATTTCCTGTAAAGAAAGAAGAATAGGGGCTACTTTATGATCTGGAAAGATAAGGAACATTAAAGAGTGGACAGGAAGAGAGAATGTGTGAAGAGACAGAAAAGTATTCCCGCTGCAAGTGTTATATGTAATTTAACTTTTACTGCTCTGTGTCTTTGAATGGAATTATGTAATATAGATGGGTTCAACATTTAACACCTTGGCATTACAGGGTATCTTTAAAATCCCAGTATTCCAATGAAATATGATTTTTTAAAATTCTTGATAACTAGATGGTTGACTTAATTCTCTGCTTTTTATACATAAATAATAATAATTTTTATATCATTATATCATTTTATATCATTATGTCCTTTTATATCACATATTAGAATCAATGGTCTCCTTTTCATTTTTTCATGTGTTTTGCTTTTAAATTAAATGGCTTTTATCTAGTTTTCTATATAGTTCAGTTTCTACAATTTTCTAAAAGTTCTAGCAATACTATCCAGGAATTGAGAACAAAATTTATTTTTATATTTCTAAATCAAATATTTCATGCCAACTATGTATACTTTTCAATTTTTCATGACACCTTCTTTATAATATACACAATGAAAAAAATATTTTTGATTTATATTGAATATTCTCAAATATGAGATTGATTTTACTGTATATGTATCTCTGAACGTTTCAGTTGAAGTATATTTTATCAATTCCTTTTATTTTACAAAACAAAATGTTTTGCTAACAGTTGGTCTATCCTGCTTACTAAAACTTTGATACAAAGTCTGTCACCAGCTGAGGTAAAACAGCAGCTGTCCACTGGAAATAACTGCAGGAATGTTTTTCCCATTGGCCTGAAATCAAGCATATGTCTTAGTATAACAACTAAATTATAACTTTCTTTATTGATGTTTTAATTACCGAGGAATGTTAATTAAAGTTTTATACACCTGGATTTGTATAACTTTTCAAACATCCCAGTTTTCAGAGAGATAGGGATTCTTATAAGTTTCATATTTTAAATATTTAATATAATTAGCATGTATTTTCATTCAATACCTTTTGATTTGTTTTATTTGAACATTTGGCAAGCATTATGTATAAACACTGAGCAAAAAGTGCATTTCTCATTAGTGTTAGAAACAATTTAAATAGCAAATAACGCTCACTTCCCATGGTATTGAATTTTTATCTCCTTTGTATTTTTATTTAAGAGATTATGATAAACTTTAGAACTTTCCATGCTTTTCTGCTGTAAATTTTTCAAGGACGTAGAAAATGATATTTAGTTTGCATGCAAATGCTTTACCTTGAGTTTAGGATTTCATTAGTAGAACAGTTAAGGAACAAAAACATTTCCTAGTAAACGTTCAAAACAGCACATTTCACAGTGCATCTGGCTGTTACAATGCTGGGGATAAGGGCTATAGGTTTATTTGGAGAATTAAATTGAAGGATAATTATTAGAAATGTTACTCAAGTTTCCCTAGAATAAAGACCTAATAATAAATAAATATTTTTCTATAAAAAATACTACAATATCAATGTTTCCATATGGCAACTTAGTGAGTCTAGTATCTCATTCATCAAAGTACTACAGAAAGCTAAGTTAGGTAGAAATATTGCAGGCAGTCAGACAGGGTTGAGCCCTGGAAGGTGGAGTGCAGAAGATGAGAACCCATTACCACTCTGGCTAGAGGTGCATCTGTTGGAGGCCAGGCCTCAAGATAAAGATGGAATGACCTGCCCTACAGGCCTCCCAAAGGACAAGCAAGAAATAAAAGATTACACTGTAACTGATATTACCTGGTCCATTAGATTCTGGGTAGACCAGCCAAGTGACCAGGACCTCCTGACCCACACTTCCTTAGAATAAGATCTTTGTTCTTTCCATTTACACTTGCTACAAGGCCTGCTTCTTCATGCATCAGTGTTACCTATGCGGCTGTATTTGTAATCTTATTGGTTGATTATGATTTTGACCCAAGCTGAACCCATGTCATGGTTCTGTACCCACTTCGAGATTTTGCTGTCTAAATCACTTTCAGGTCCCCTGCTGTTTCTCAGGATCTCTCCCTGAATAACATTTTCCCACTGTTAACTTCCATTGTTCCTTAGAATTCACTCTTTGATTTTGAGGAACACAAATCTGACATACAGCAGATTAGGAGTTACAGTATTTTCCCCATGTAAAAAGCAGAATACATTTTCTGTAGTCTGTGATGTTACCCTAACTGAAAGAGAAATAAAATACAGAAAGCATTACCTTCTGTATAGTAATTATTCCTTCCTGTGTATCTTTGTCAACAGATATCTTGAAAATTCCCAGTCCATCACCATCCACAATTTTATATTCCATTTCAGCATTTGCTCCTATATCTGCATCGGCAGCTTTAATTCTGGCCACAACTGAGGCTACAGGTAATGATTCTGGGACATTATATTGGTAAGATCCTGTGAAATTCAAAATAAGGAATGAACAAAATTTTACCTCAAGGTAATCAAAAAATCAGACAGATATGCGACTTCGCTTAATTAATTTTTAGTTTTAAAAACAGTACATGCTAAAAATTTGAAAGAAGTCAGTGTGACAATATGAGACAAATGACAAGTTTCATATAGCCTCAAGAAATATGATAGTTCTGATTGAATAATGATGACTTCGTGACAGCAGAAACAGATGGCCTGAGGAAAAACAAGAGAAGATTAGCTCTTCCCGTAGTTCTCTACTGGTGAAAATATGCTATTTAATAATAAAAAATGTGAAATGAAATGTAATTAATATATAATCATCAAATATAAGTAATTGAATTTAATTAACACAATATACACAAGTAACAACAGACTAGCTCAGGCTTCTTGTTGGGCAAACAGCGCCTAAATATTTCTGACAGCTTACTGTTGGCATTTGTATAGTGACTTTTACAAAGAAATCTTCAGAAAACTGAAAAAGGAGTTACGTGTAGGGTAACGTTAGTCTTCTTTTAGCTCCAAAATGTGCCAAGTATATGAATTATTTTTGTAGGATTCATTTAGAACCTACTTAGGGCATAGTAGTACAAGATCACAGGTAATATTATTTAAACAGAAATAAGTAAAAAGGAAAAAAAATCTTAAATTTTTGTTCTACCTAACCTTAGTAATAACTCCTTTTTATCACGCTTCAACTAAAACTAAAACAAAATAACAATGAAAAGAAAAGTAACTTGAAACACACGAAAGTAGGAAATACATCACAATAATAGGATTCTTAGTTTCTTTTCTCTGATCATTTACTTTCTCCTGGCTCCTGCAGCTTTCTCCATTTCCCTTTGGTTGTTAACCTGAGATGCATTTGCTCTTCATTATGAGGAGAGAAGAGGAGATTCTTTCAGAAAGAAATGTGGAAAGGAATGCCTCTATTTATATGAAAAGACTATTTAATTTTAGGCTGAGACTTGTTTGATATTATCTAAGATTGTGCGTGGCTATTTTTTAAGTGACTGAATATATGCTTGACATTTTTTAGTGATTTCTTTCAAACATCTAGCAGTCCTCAATAAAATTTAAAATTCAAAAATAGAATAGTTATTTAAGATAGTTAGAATAGTTATTTAAAATTTAAAAATAGAATGGTTATTACATTAGAGAGAAAATCAGCAAAAAGTTAAAAAATCAATGGCATATTGTAAAACTATCTTATCAAAGCATGACAACTGGAGTATAATTCTTATCACTCTAGGTTTAAAGAAAAGAGAAGCAGTTAATTTCAGCATACAGTTTCCCTAAAACCCCTCCCTTTACTCCATGATAACCCATCAAAACACAAGGGTAGCCTCCCTTCACCCACTTTGCCTGAGAAGCCCTGAATCATTTTTTTTTTTTTCCTATTGCAATACTTGTTGCCAAACCAAACAAGCATTAACCAAATACGTTAAAAATGAAAATCTAAAGAATCATTTTTTAAGGAAAAAATACTGGCTCTCACTGACCAAAGATGTTTGATGTTATTTGTTTCCTTCTGGTGGTAAGAAATTTAGTTTTCTATTTCTATTGGATAAGATTCCTAAAGATATTTTCCAGGCATCACAACCTGTAAAATAACTTTTTATTTTTAGTATTTCAAAGAAATGCCAAGAGAACCAAATAAAGATAACAAGGAAAGCAACTAAAGAGAGATTGAGATGAAATGCTTTCTTGCAAACAAAAAAGTTCTTCCTTGAAAACATTTTACTTTTTCTTCTTCTTGCTAAGTAACAAATCACTTTGGCCTAAGAATCTGAAAAGAGGGCAGGTGGTTCTGGTGCTTTAGATTGATTTCTTTTCAAATACTCAGTGTTTGCACAAGAAACTGTATAGTACTGTCCAAGGAATTCAGTGTGCATGAATGGATTAAACTATGAAATGAAAAATAGAAGTGTTTATTTCTCTTCTTTACATCTTCAAAACATAAATATAGCGACATATTTTTGAGAGAATTGATACTGTATCACTAATAGGTAACAAGCTTATGATTTCCAGAATATATATGAAGAGGAGTCCTGAGAGTCTACTACACAAACACAATTAAAGTTTATGCAAAGTGTGACTTAAAGAAAAATCACATTTTATTTAAGATAGAAAAGACACAGATATATGATGGCTGTATTAGTCTTTGGTACTCCTAGTCCATAAAGTGAGTTCAAATTATGTAAAATAGTCCCACCTAAATACAGTAACAAAATGATATCATTGAGGAATTTGGCAAAAAGTCTTTTGAAAGCTTTTCAGTTTTGTTTTGATAGGCTAAAATGAAAAACTTATTAACAAAAAGAATGGCTTACTTCTAGGAAAGCGAGGTGGGTTATCATTGACATCAGTTAGGGTCACGGTGACTGATGTAGTTCCTGACAGTCCACCATTTTGACCAACCATATCCTTTGCCTGAATGACAAGCAAATACTGGTCCTTAGCTTCTCTATCCATGTTTGGAAGGGCAGTCTTGATGATTCCTGTAGGAGTTCAAATCCCAGTAAATACATCATGAGTCACTGCGTCATAATAACAATGGACACTGACAAAATAACCAGGCTTCTTTAGCTGTTTTATTTATTTCGTTGTTCTCTTTACTTTAAATAATTTTAATGTGTATTGAAGGCTAAAGGACTATTACAATTGCATGCAATATTACAAAACAGAAAATAGTGCAATGTATTCTCAGTATCCTGTGATAATTGTTTTTACTTTTCATGGAAATAGAGTTAAAGAAATAACAACTTATTAGTAAATAAAAGTAAATACTTCTCAATTTATGAGACATTATAGCAATGAACTTACTCAATTCACAACAATTTATTATCAATTATCAAAATACAGTCCAAGATAGATAGCATTCTTAAGTTAAGCCAGCATATTTTTGTTTAGACCTGAGTATTCTCAAACACACACACACACACACACACACACACACACACACACACACCAGCAATGCATCCATATTTTATGCACTTAAATTACACTTACTTGAATAGGACACCTTTCTGAACTTACATATCCTATTATCCTATGCATAATTTTGAGCTATTGTTACAATCAAATACAGAATTTAAGTAATATTTATTTGGATACTTTTGGCTTTTCACTCCAATTTATCATCTTTGAATATCATAATGAAAATGAAATATCCAAATACCCAATAGCATTATTTAGTTATTCTAATACATCAGTATTTTGGGGGGGATCATAATTTTCCAGAAATATTTTATATTTGCTCTTCAATACTTAGGGTAATCTATAGCTAAACAATTAATGTGACCAACATTTATTACTTGCAAGCACATTTGACTGACAGTCATAGAATTTAAAAATATTCATATTTTCCTATTTTATGTGCATATATTAATTTATCTTTCTTATTAATACTTTCTCTTCTCAATTTCTAATGATAATATAAATGGGTTTATTTTGGCAAATTTGAACCTATATATAAGATATTGTGATCATTTCTTTTGTAATGTTTATAAAACAGTCCTCAACATTTGACCAATAAGCATGTTTTATCTATATGAAAAATATATATTTTATATGAAAAAATACAATGAATTATTTTAGGAAAATCTATTAGCTTCTATTTTTCTCTGATTAATAATTTCAATATTACTAGATATCAGAGAGTTATAATCTTTAAAAGATTGTTGTGGAGAGAAAATCATAACAACTCAACAAGCAAATAAATGAATCACTGCATCTCATTCCTATCCTGTTTTGGTTAGAAGCACTATCTTTAATAGCATCATTAGTATAGAAATCTGGCAGTTATCCTCTTATTTTTCACACCTCTAATTTTCTTTTTATAAGAAATTCTCTATGTAATGATTTCCAAAGCTAAAATCATTACAAAGTTTGTAAATTAATGCATGTGGAAAAAGTAATTTTCAAGTGTTTCAGATTAACTATCTTTTCAACAACAGTAAAATAATAAAGTTTAAATGAGCATTCAGAAATTATACTAATTTTGCTAACCTTTACATTTAAGTTAAAACTGCCTCCATTAAAAAAATTACCTTACACTGAATTTTATTTTTTCTTTTTCCACATTATATATAAATATATTTATATACACACATAGAGCTCATTATTAACACTATATCTCCGGACCGTTAAAGACTAGTGTTTTCAAGCTGGCGCCTTACAATCTGTGAAATTTACAGGAAAGACAAAAAATCATAAAATAATAGCAAGGAATTATTATATAATTAAAAGTATTATATACATTTAAATAATTATTAAAACTTATAAGCAAAACTTTTAAATAATTTATAATGAGAAAACAACTATACATCAAATATTTAGAAAAAAACTGGCTTACATGAGAGGTATTTGAACAAGAGTTTTCCTATATATGTTTCGTCTTACTCGACAACTCAGAATTTTTCATTTTCTTTTAATTGATGATCACAAAAACATTGTGTACACAAAACATAAGCTTATCTCGGTAATGCTCAACAATTCTCTTGTTTTTGGTATGGGGAAAAATTCTGATGACACTCTTGTCAAGTGCTGATTTATTTACAGAATATTTGTTTACCTTGAAATTGTCTTAAAATGTTGGTGCCTATACTATATAATACAGCATTGTTTTTTAAATTTACCATAATAAAGAGAACCACTTTCAGAGACTTCATTCTGAACAACTGGATCTTAAATTAGCTTGAGAGGTATGAATGAACTCTAGAGACCCAACACTGGAGGGTGCTTTTGCTGGGAAGTTCAACTCAGTACAACTATTTCAACGTACTCAAAACAAGGTTGAGTTAATTAACACCCAAAATAAAACTTCAGTAAAGACCTGCTTTCTTTAGGATTTCAATAACTAAGGAAAGTTCTTCTGTTAACTACAATCTGAGTTAGAAGTATTCACTAACTCCCAAACCATTTATGTCCCCCAATCTTAATTACAATCTTCATCTTCTGTCACTACTCCAAGAGCTCTGAGTGTACACAATTAAAGATTAGACACATTGCTTTCATGATGGGTTCTATTTAGTAACACAAGTCAGGAGCTTAGAGCCATGAGCAAACTAAAGCTATTTGTTGAGCCACTGCAAAAATTGAATAGGTATCACCCATTAAATAGCACTAAGATGAACAGAAGACTCAGTCAGTGCACGACTATAAAATGGTGATGGACCTATGTATCCTGCTACTTGCTTTTCTTTTAGCAGGAATAATCAGATACAATTTCAGATTCACTAGTAACTTGTTCCAAGATGGCAGATTTGTTTAAATATGAACTTGTGAGTGAGAATAGTAGATATAACTGTTAAAAAGTTATACATGAATGTGTTGCATTCAGTTTCTGGTAATTTGCATTATGAATTCTTTAAAATAGGTAAAAGAAACAATATTAAAACCTGATTTTATGTAAGCCAATGATTGTTGTATCATATGATATTTACAAATATAATACAAATAATTGTTCAGCAAAGAATTTCAGTGTAATATGTGGCATGTAAAAACAAAACTTCATATTTGAATACAGTGAAAACAGACGTTACATTAACAACTTCTCTGCCCAAGTTTAAACTGTGTATCAATGGTTATGTTTGCAAATTCATTCAGAAACTTAAATGCTACCTTCTGTCTCTAGGAGAACTTCTGTTTGATCTATAAAGCATACTAAACATACACACACACACACACACACACACACACACACACATATATACACACACACACATATATATATATATACATATTATATATATATATATATATATCTACATATATTATATCTTTTTTTTTCTTTTTTTTTTTTTTTTTCTTTTATCGGTACTAGGATCAAACTCACGACCGCCTGCTTGCAAGGCAGGCGTTTATGCCACTGAGCTAAATCCCCAGCCCCCATATATTATATCTTGATAGCCACTGAACTTGCTAATATTGAAAAACAACACTTTATGTGTGGAACTAATTAATAATAAAATGGGGGCAAGTTTATAGAACAAAATAAGCAATATATTTGTAGTTGTATAAATACTTGGGATAGGATTGCATTGGAAAACTAGAATTGTTCTAATAAAAAAGCTACTGGAATGAGCACCTGGGGACTTGTTGTGTCACAAATTTTCTTATATGTGTATAAACTGACAGAAAGGAATACACAATAGACTCAAGCAAAACTCTTATTTACAAGCATAGAAATTAGGGCAGCTTTTAAAGATAATAGATATTCAGGGAACTTGAAAGTGGTTTCAAAAGAACTTAAGAAATGGAATAAAATAAATCCTTAAAGCATTTTTTTCTGCTTTGAAAAAATATCCTTTAGTGAAATAATTTATATATTAGAATGTTAATTATAATGATTTTAATACAAGTTACAAAGTCAGCTCTTATTGACATTTATGAATATTTATCACATAATATGAAAAAAAAATAAATATTCTGGGTACTTTTAAGAAGAATGTTGCATTTATCTAAAAAACAGGGTAATATTTACTAAAATAATTATAATTCTGTGTATGTATTTTATTTTTACAGAAGTAATAATTTCCTTCTGTAATAAATAAAATTATTTATGAAGAATATCTTCTTAGCAATTTGTACTTTTAAATTTTGCATCTAAGCTTTGTATTACTTGGTTTATCTATCTGTAGGTACATCATTTCAGAGAATAATAAAAAAGACAGAGAAGTGCCAGTGTCTAAGGTCCAGGTTAGCAGCTGCTGGAAATCCAAAGAATGCCAGACTTGGCACCAAAGGAAAATTCACTGAGCAAGGACTCTTCTTGCCATCTGTGAGAGACCTACTCAGAAAACTTAGACAGGAGCCAAAGCCCCTCTACAAAATTAGCAGAATTATAGGATGAAGCTTGGGGTGTAACTTGTAATAAGGATACTAACTCACATAAATCTGAGATAAAGCAAATATGTATTCAACACATAATGAACACCAAGAAGCCAGGCTTCTGTTTGACAACTTAAAATTACCAGTGATTTTGACTCAATCCATTTTTCAAAAATGTTTTCGTGGTTTTAGAATTTGTTCAATTAGACTGACAGTATTTGGTTTAACTTCTGAGGACATCTTGAAATCCATACTAATTTTAAAACATGGGTTTTGCTTTTCAGTTTGAACTGCAAATTATTTAACCATTCTTGTCCCATATCAAACAGAATCACAAATGGGATCTTTGCAAGTAATGGAACAGAAAATACGCCTTAATCTTGTCTCTCAGTAATTTTGTGGATCTTATGAAGGAATCTTTCGTCTTTTTAATAGTGTGTTATCTGTTTCTAGGGACATTTTACTGTCTTGAACTAAATTGTCCACGTTCATTTTTGCAACTACACATACTCTGGTTTTGTTGAAGGAGAAATAAAGGTATAAAATGAAATTGCCTTCTAGTCATGTGGCTTCTAAGCACTGCTACAGATATAATATGAGCTCTCAGGTTTTCATGATGCTTTTTCTCGGCAGTTTAGCAAATTGATAAAAATGCATATACCCTTTGATTACATAGGCTTATTTTTACTAATCTTTATTTAGCATATGTTCAGCACTTTCTCCTGTCAAAAATTTTACTTTCTTCTCCAAAACCACTACATTTGTGTGGAAAGTACTGTTATTTCTCACAAAGATAAGAATCAGATTGACACCCCATAAGGAAAACTAACTCAAACTTGATTTACAGCTCTGTCAGCCTCGAAGGACTGAAGACTTTCCATTTTGCGTGAAAAGTTTTAACTTATTTTTTTCTTTAAAACAATTGGATTCTGCATAGTATAACTTAGTTTATCACATAAAATGCTCACAATATCTCTGTACTGACCATAGAAAGATAAATCCTGTTATTTATAATTATTAATGCACTACAAAATAAACTTCCCTTATTTCAAACTATTTGCATCTGTAATAGATAATGGTAATATATATTTTAACAATACAATTTATTAAATTTAGATTTTGAAATTAAAATTGAGTTTACTTAGTTCCAAGTCTTACTATAACCTTGTGATTTATGATTATTCAGTAGATAAACTGGTGAGGTTTTACATCCACAGAGTTATAGGAAATTTCCATTATCTTACAGCCAATCATGAGTAGCAACAAAATGTTTAACCATTAGAATTATTACATGTTATCTTTTGAACAGATTACATAATGCAGAGTTATAATTTGTGAGCAAATTTTAACAATCTTCTCCATGGCTTTCTAGACTGAAAGAAGCAGATATATTGAAGGAGGGTGAGTGTTTGAATTTACGTTTCTGAGATTTATCATTAAATCCAACAACAGCACAATTTCTACAGGATTTATAACATAAATCAAATATTTTTATTTACTCTTCCTTCATTCAATATTTGGTTAATCTTAACTGTTTCTTTTCTACTATACTTTCCAGGTATTTTCTACACTGTACCATTATATTGCTACAAAATATGGCATAAGTGAGACTAAACTTTCTTCTCTGTTGATGCGTATTACTATTGTTATTTCCAAAAGGCATTTAAAACAATTATACTAGCAGTGATTTGAGAATGAATTACTATTGCATTTTTATGAAATAAAATTGCAATATTATTGCAGAATTGCTTAATTAGAGAATTTTTGGTTTTTCATTGTGATAAAACATTAATGTCACCCACTCAACAGTATTCATGTCCACTCACTCCTCCATACACATAAGAAAAAAATAAATACACAAAGTAATTATTTTAAAATGAAAATAACAATGCTTCACGTTATACTGTTATTTCAATTTAAAAGAAAGCATAAAAATAAATTTAACAAATAATATAAATTTTATTTTCATTTTGCACCTCATAAAGAACATGACCCCAAAACTAAGAAAAAAACTTAGTTTTTGACTAAGCAGATCATTCTTCTCATTGCTATAGTTAATATCATTGTGAAAATTAGCTTCTAGAAAGATACATTGAAATTAGTAGCTATTCTATTGTGTGGTTGAAATGTTTATATTTGAGTTTATATTTTGCCATGTACAATTTTCTATATGAATACATAAAATATCAAAAAAAACAAAACTTAAATGTAAACAATGAACTGTTTATACAATCAGAAGATAAGAAGTGAAATGTTTTAAACATGGAATATTGATTTAAGTTTTAGGAATACAGAGAAGTGTCATAAATTCTTACTGAAAAGAATGATAATTCTTTTATAATGTTTGTGTACTAATATTGACTCATTAAAATAAGTATGATATAAATATAGCACTATAATCATCTAAATTTAGTTAAGAACAACTAATATCAATTCTAAGCCAAGATCTAAATGCTAATTTTGCAAAGAGTGCCACATTTCCATTTGTACCTGTTTTTGGTTCCACCGAGAAATAAGGCTGTCCTTGCAGAATGCTGTAGACCACTCGAGCACTGTTACCATAGGTAGGATCATCAGCATCAGTTGCTGTCACCTGAACCACTGAAGTCCCTATGTGACAATGCAGAAACCAGAAAATTAAATGCTTCCAAATTAAAAAAAAAAAAAAAAAAAAAAACAGAAGTTCATGCACTCTTCTATATTATACACTAGAATTATTTGTAATTTTAACTTGCATCTTTTATTGCATAGGAAAAATTGATCTAATTTTTTAAACTCAAACTCGGAGATAAATACTAATACAATCTTTGAAATAGCTAAAGATTATAAAATATTAGCAAAAGCATGTGATTGATAATGCATGCTAGGTTGGAAAATGTTGAGAACTGATCATTGATAATGCGTGCTAGGTTGGAAAATGTTCAGAACTGAATGGGACAAAAAGTGAAAGCATCTCACTCATCATGTCAGACAACAAGTTTTCATCGAGTCTCTACAAGAGTCAGTCACTGTCCAGAGAGAGCCCAAAATGTAAAACCAGCTGAGTACCACATCATCAAGACTATCTCCCTGCTGTTGCTAAAGAATGCCAGACTGAAGCTGAAATTTCATTAAATGTACAAAGGAAACATAACCATATAACTGAATATCATGATTCTATCCTATCTTCTTTGTAATTTTTAATTTTTTCTGATAATGGATTAAAAAAATATTAAGTAACCCTCCCAGAGGAGGAAACATATGGTACTTTATAAATAGAATTACTAGTTTTCTATATTTTATATCATGCTGTTTCTCCATTTTATTTCATATTCATTTATACAGTATAGAAACAGTTATATTTATCTGTATTTTTTCTGATTTGATATATAATCATCAAAACATTAGAGGAGCATGTTTTCTTAGTTCTTTGTATAGCTAAACGCATTCTATTCTATAGTTTATGCTTTTCCTGATGCAGAAGGAAATTGCTGTTTTCTTAATATTTTCTTTAAATTCCGTTTATTTCTAACAATATCCTGAATATGGTGTGTTAAATCTAATATTTTCTTTACATGTAATTTATGTAGATATTTTCTTTGCAATTATCTGAAATAAGTCATCAGTCTTCATTTTGTTACTAATGCATTCCATTTTTCATAATATGATTTACCTTACCAATTCCTTTTTTAAAAAAATGATTGTAAATGATGAAATTATGGGAATTAAACCATGTTTTAATCCTTAAAGTTTTTTTTTATTTAATAAATTTAAGTGATTGTGCTTTTTGGATACCTGATAAAGTCAAGATGAATGTCTATTTTTTAATTTTTTTAAGAATTAAATATTAATATACTGAAATGTTATAATGCATTATATAAAATATAATGCAATTTATTTTAAAATTGTCTCTATAATGCAACATCTTTGGTTCAATAATGGTGATATAATTATTCATTTCCTACTTCATTATAAAGAAAACAATTATAAACATTAAGAAAACTAAGCTAGTTAATATTTTATACAATAATACCGTTTTCTCTGATATCTTCATTTATTTTTATGTGATTAATAACTAGTGTGCTTAATACTGTATCTGTATATAATACACACATACGCATACCTATAGACATATTTACAAATAAATAAATTGTTCATGCTTATTTATTTTCTTCTAGTAATGAATAAACAGTATTATGGCTTATAAGTGTTTTTGAAAATATAGTTAACATTCAATTAAAAACAAAAACTCTAAATATTAAGCATTAAAGGATTGTCTTGTATATACCATAAAATCTTAACCAGTGACCCAATCAAGTAAATGAAACTTGTATGTGTGTGCAAAACCATATTGCTGAACATTAAAATAGCATCATCAGAATCAAAACTCCAGGCATTATTTATCCTGTAAAACAAGAAGTTCACATACATCCAATTTGCAAAGCTACGTGCCATGAAGGACAGGAAAACCTTATGATCTAATGAAAAACTTTCAAAATGACGCAGAACAAGAACTAAGGAGTTAAGTTCAATAAGTCAGACAAATCTGAGAAATGCAGCATTTACTCAGAATTACTTATTTTTTCTACTGCACTCTAAAATATCACTGTTTCTACTGTTGCTGTTAATATTAAGCAGTAATGGCGAGAGACACTTTGGAAGGTGGGCAGCACTGAGGAAGTACGAGTATGCCTGCTCAGTCATAAACATGCTTATGCATTTGTTAACCTTAGTTTCTGCCAATAAGGCTTAGAGTTTTTCTGTCTCATTTGCAGTTTGCATCTCTTTGGCACAATAACAAATATTTTGCGCCTCAAAAAATATTTCCCTCACCTATTTAATAAGAACTGGAATTGAAGGTCACTAAATTATGATTCTCTTAAAATTATCCCCAATATACATTTCTGCAATCTCACTGTCCATTTTAGTTGGTATGTTGGTTAAGTATATGCATCAAAAGGTCTTTACTTAAAACAATACAAATTGCATTGACTAAAATACCCATGTGTTATAAGTTTCAGTAATAGTTTAAATAAGCTTCCTCCTTCAATACTTAAAACAACTAATAAATACATAAATTAGTTTGCTACTGCTCCAGACCCATAATTTATTATTTGTTTTAGCATTTTCCACATTTGCATCCTGGCTGAAAAGTATTTTAGAAATACCTGAGGATATGGAATTTAGACCAGAATCTATATTACTGTCTTTGATACAAAGTGCATGTTAGAGGTGCATCATTTGCTTGTTTTCTAGCAATGAGGCAATGCTAAAGGCCATTAAGTAAAACTACCCTCATTATTTCTTATATATCTCCAACTAAATATTGTACTGCCATTATTTAATAAATATTGCTTTCCCATCATAGTATATAAACTCACTCTTTATTTTCAGTTGGAGAATTATAAAAAGCTCAGCAGTAGCATGTGATATATGCTTACAGGTGCAAGTACATTCACTATAAACAGACTAGCCAATTTAGATGTTAGCCTGGCTGGCCACTGACAGCATTCTGGAGGCCGGGTGATGTGATGATATTTAGATCAGTGACTCATTAAGCAATGGCATAGAAAGAATCATAAAAGATCATCACCAGCCTGTGAGTGAAAGGATTTCATTTTTTAATTTCTCAGGAATAATTGCATACCTTAAAGGTATATTAAGGAGAGAAGAGAGTGTAAGACCTAAGTGACTTCTTAAAGATAACAGGGTATCATATAAAAGAAAAAAATACAAAAAGTAAAAGTTATTTTTAATTTTTATACAAATAAAATGATGTGTTGAATGAATGAGTTACAGCTAACATATCTCAAATTTCCCCTTCATCCTGACCAATGCCATGCATATAAGAAGTGATTTTTTTCCTCTGTACTTGCTGGCAATTTACATTTAAATACAAGCTGCTGCAAATCTGATACTCATTGCAAGCAAGCACCCCAAGCTTTCTACTTACCCACTGGAGACATTTCAGGAACTCCTGCTGTGTATGGTCCGTCCAAAAATTTGGGTTCATTATCATTGATATCTTGAATTTTGATGACAAATTCCGATTCAGGCTCCACGGGTTTGTTGGTGAGTCTGTCCAGTGCTTGAGCTCGGAGCGTGTAGTAGGCCTGTTCCTCCCGATCCAGCCTTTTGGTAGCATGAATATCGCCCGTGTTCTCATCAATAATGAAAATGGAACTTGCCCCCTCGCCAGACAGGATGTATTTGATGGAACCATCTCCCTTATCAACATCAGAGTGAAGCTGGTGAAAAATTTATGTGAGATGAGATTAACTTACAAAAGAGGCAGCAATATAAGACGTGTAAAAGTAATTCTTATGTCAGACATTGGGACGTGAAAGTTGATTGTTTTTGGAAAGATAAACTGAATGTTTATTGAGCACAACTGAAGAATGTGGCATCTTATACTTCAGAAAAAGACAATTTCATTTCTTCCCACAACCAACTCATTTCTAATTGTATTTTATATCACTTCCAAAGTTAAGGGATTTTAGTGTTATGTTGTCTAAGCTAATTTAAGCTACCTCTTCATCTAACATAGCAGATATTCAGTAAACCTATATAAATTATTTATTTGAGTTTATTCAAAGCAAAAAGATTTCCTATCGAACACTTTCAGATTTACTTCATTCAATATACTATTTAACAGCTTAGAAATCTTCACATTCGTATGGGTTCTCTCGTTTTGGTCCTTACCACCCTACCCCCCTCCACTGAACCCTTTTTCTATGATTACCAAATGGATGAAAGTCCAGTTACTAAATCTAGCTCTACATCCTGTACTATATTTTAAAATTTGAAGCTGAAAAAAATTACACTGCTCTCTAAAGTAGAAATTTTAAATCAATACATGCACAGGACTTCAACTAAAACCTTTCTTGAAATACCAAGAACTGCATTAGATTTGCATGATTAACCCCAGCATCTGCAGCAGGGCAGCGCCTACTGATTTGCATTTCATATCAGGAACTGTCCCTGCTGTATGTCAGAACATTATGTTGAACAGAGGAACCTTAGGAAACTCAGAAATAATTACACATTTTCCTGAACTTCGTAACCCGAGAAACACAATATTCAATCTGTCATTTCAACAATCTTTCACCTCCTTTAACTGCCATCCTCCTGGACTTTGGTTAATATGAAGGTAAAAACACAAATTACCAAATAACAAGGCTTTTCACTGCCCTACAGAACTACATTTGCATTTTTCAAAAGATAAAGTGCTAAAAATATTAAATATAGAAAACCACTTAGGAACTTATGGGCACAGTGCATTTGCAGCCTTCCCTGGTTGCTGTGGAGGATACGGCTCCTTGCACCATGAATTTCTAAGTGATTACACCCTGCCCTCTAATAGCTGTGTTTATACTCTGCTTCATGGTACTTAAATAACTGATTTATCCTTTGCAGTTTTTAGTCAGAACTAAATAATACAAGAAAAAGTCTTTCTGGGACAGTGGAAATTTAAATTTTTTCAGTGTGGAATCATCTCATGAATCACTGTACCACATGTTTACACCACACATGGGGAAGAAGTTTTCTAAAAGTACTGTGAATTATCTTTCTCATGTCATTCTCAGGATAGATAGGTAGACAGAAAGATAGAAAGAAAGAAAGAAAGAAAGAAAGGTAGATAGATAGATAGATAGATAGATAGATAGATAGATAGATAGATCCTCAATAAAGAGGGGAGAAACATGAGAATTACTAATTGAGTTATAGCAAACCTTGGTATAAATCGCCATTCTTAATGTCCTCTTTGTACTACCACATTTATTATTCAAAACTGTCCTTATTAATCTTACTAATGAGTGGAGAAACTGACAGAAAGAAAAGCTAATTCTCCTAGCTAGCTTTCGGCAGTCTCCAATTACGAAAATTACCTGGCTGTGGGAGACCCAGGACCCACTCCCTACAATGTAAACACACCTATGGAGTAGAATCTGCTATCCTATGTGGTGAGGGCACCGGGAGTCCATGCATTATCTGCATCAGCTTAAAGATGCTCAGGGTTTTGAGCTAGTTTTTGGTTTTTTTTTGTTTTTTTTTTTTTGTTTTTTTTTTTGTTGTTTTGTTTTGTTTTGTTTTGTTTTTAATGACTCCTCAGAACAATCTTTTCTTGCCATTATATAAAATAAATTACCAAATTCTGCAAAATCCTCAAGTCTTGACACATGTGTGGAAAACAGATGAAAGTAAACTGTTGTTAAACTGCTACCAACATGTCTCCCTAAAGCCATCTCCTAATTCTGCTCTCAACCATTCCCCCTATATGGCAGCACCTTTGGGGACACCTCCATATGCTCCTGATAACAATGGTAGGAAAAGTCAGGGGAAACCCAGGAAGTCATAAGAAATATTAGTCAGAACACGGACTAGGCCTTTAATTTAAGGTTTCCCATTTCTCCAAGCCATACGCAGACTCTTCTTTATAGAACTAGCCCAGTAATCAACAGATTACTGTTTTCATGACATTGTAATACAAGGTTTTCAGATAGTTCAGGTACAGAGACAGAATAAATTTCTTCTCAATATAAATCCAGTGTGGGGACTTCAGCCTGAACTGCCATGTTATCACTTTACATTATGGTGGTATTGGTTGTTGCCAATTACTGACAAAGTAAGAGTATTTTTTTTTTGGCAAAGCGTTCACAAAACGTTTCTCTCTAGTCTCCAGGGACTGCATTGCTTTTCTTCTACAACTGCCTCCTCCAACACCGATACACATTGCATCCTTTGGAAGGAGCCCTGGGCTTCTCTTTCCTCTATGTCACTAAAAATTTTCTCCCAATGGGTACCATCACTAGGCTTGTGATTACTGCCAAAACTCACAAACAGAAGATTGCTCCGAGTTGGTGGTCTGTGTTCTTGCAAGGTTAGTGTAAGCATCTGTGGCTAAAAGTAATGAACGACTTTGAAATGCTGAAATGGGCACAAAAGTATTGAAGAGACCAAGAAAGCTCGTTCCATCTGCTGCTTCCCTTCCCCTTCTCCCTTCAAATCCAGCTAGGTTAAGTTTTAACTTCCTAAAGGCCATAAAACAAAGGCCTGAGGTAATAGCTCCTGACATCCTGGGTCTTCCCTATCCAGAAGCCCCATCACAAATTGTGTTAATTGCATCAGATTGTATTAGATTGTACATTCTTCACAAAAATAGCTTCATTTATATCATAGTAATACCTGTAACTGTAAATGTGTGTCTTCCTTTTACTCTGGGTAAAAGATTGATATGTTAATCAATGCTCTCTGTAAAGAATTGTAAAATCTTACCTAATCGATATGCTAACCATTGTTGCCCTCTACAAATAGAACGGTTGTGGTGCTAAAGTAAGGTAATTAAGGTTGTTAATTGCTGTTAGACTTTTCTATTCAGGAGGCCTTGTGGTGCGAGTTTCAAAACTATGTGCAGCTCCACCCCCACAGGAACCAGTGTTCTTAAACAGTTAAGACAAACAGTCTTAACCTAAGACAGATCTCTCAGTCATGAGACAAACGCCCATTCCTAAGAAATGCCACCCCTTCTAGGGAGACACTCCCTTGCCCCACTAAAAAACCCAATCCCTTAAGGACAGCTCACCATCAGCTCTGCTCTAACCGCTATGATTGGCTTCTGTAACAACGCTTGCTTGTTTTGCTGTTTTAGGCCTTAAAAGGCACAGCCCTGCTCCAGTAAGGGGTTCTCCGTTTCCACCTGTTTGGAGGACCCCGTGTACACGGAATAATAAAAACCCCATTGTTTTTACATGAGAGCGAGGCCCTTGGAGTCTTCCTTGCGACACCGGTCTAACAGTATCAGATGCCTTTAGACATTAGGTTTGTGAGACTAGGTTTGTTATACTCAACAAGTAGAGTAAAACCATGATTGACAGTGAAAAACTGCTATCTCTTCCTATGAAAAATAAGGGTCCAGCATAGAAGGAAAGGGCTACTAGTATAGAAATCACAAATTACATTCTTGAGTTGTCACATGTGCCACTATAAACAAACACTGACAGGCACATCTTTGCAAAACTGAAAGTTAGAAGCACAGCTGAAAAAATGTATGCCCTTTAAAAAATAGACTGTAGCTTTACAATGTGGTGAATGAATGTGAAAGCAAATGAAAAACACAACAATAAGCAAGTATTCACACTATTCTAAACAGTAGAACTCACAGTATGTCTATTTCACTTGCAAATATCCTTGTAAAGGTCAGCCTGAAATTAGACTAAGAATAACCAACAAATGAAATACTTCACTAATCATCACATAAAACTCACCATGCCCAAATCTTTTTATAATTACCTGCTATGACTTCAAAATAAATATTGACATATTACATTACAAGAATTTTTTCAAGTAAGAAGAACATGATCCTTAGGTGAACAGACAGCAATTTATGTGAGGCCTGTCTAATTTAGCATTTTGAATAGTGAAATGTAAGATATATCAAAACGGGTTGAACTCATAAACTACACAGGCCAAGAAGGGACAGGAAAATTTATTATATTCTATAATATATTTCTTAATAATCCATAATGGTTCTATGAGCTCAAGTTTGACAGAGCACCCTGCCTCATTTTCTCCAGCACATACAGCCTCTTATTTGCTTTCTTTCCATAGTCTCTGAACTGAAATCCTAGTCTAAGGTCATAAAACCTTTCACTGGCCTATTGGAAAATTTCTCAAATATTCCACCATTTTTATAATTGATATTATTGAATCTGTCATCACACGTCATAAATTATTTCCCCTAAAATATAGTAAGTCATAGTGCATCCTTCATCAGATAAGTTCCATAAACGTCAACAGAATCTTTATCGATAAGGAATAAAGCACAATACTGAGATGGGACAGCACCTCCCATTTGCACAGGGTTGGATCCTGAAGGCTTCTGCAGTGGATCAGCACATGAACTCCTCATGGTGCTGCCCAGGTGTCAGGCCACGCAGCAGCCCACTCTAGGGAGCACCTGTTAGAGTGCTTCTAATACCTGGGCACAGTAACACAAGCCTGTAATCCAAGCACACTGGAGGCTGAAGCAGAAGAATAATCCAACATTGAAAACTAATTTGGGTTGCATAGTGAGTTCAAAGCCACCTTAAAAATACACAGTGAGATGTCTCAAAAAATCAATCAATCAATCAAACAAAATGCTTATAATAATTTTATTTTTTACTTATTTTTTTACAAGAAAACAATAATTTTAGAAAGCATATCTTTACCAAAACAAAACAACTTACTCTTTATAGCTCATTTAAAA